AACTCAAGTGCTCCTGTCAGCCTCCCGAAGTATTGGGATTACAGGCTTTAGCTACCACACGCCTGGCCCGCCCGTCTCGGCCTCCCAAAGTGCTGGGATTACAGGCTTGAGCCACCGCGCCCGGCCGCTGGTCTGGAACTCTTGACCTCAGGTGATCCACTTGCCTTGGCTTCCCAAAGTGCTGGGATTACAAGCGTGAGCCACCATGCCTGTCCCTGTACTTTTTTTTTTTTTTGATAAACATGAATTCATGTTAGTTGTATAATTTTTTTTTTTGAGACGGAGCCTCGCTCTGTCACCCAGGCTGGAATGCAATGGCAGAATCTTAGCTCACCGTAACCTCCGCCTCCTGGGTTCAAGCGATTCTCCTGCCTCACCCTCCAAGCAGCTGGGATTACAGGCATACACCACCACGCCCGGCTAATTTTGTATTTTTAATAGACATGGGGTTTCTCCATGTTGGCTAGGCTGGTCTCGAACTCCCGATCTCAGGTGATCCACCCGCTTCGGCCTCCCAGAGTGCTGGGATTATAGGCATAAGCCACTGTGCCCAGTTGACAACCCTATTTCAATCTTTCCACACCACCACCTAAAGGATACTGTGACTATATATAAGATTAAAAAATAAAAGCAGCTTAACAGAAATAAGCCTCTAGAGTTGCCTCAGGCCATTGATTTCTCTAAAGCCAGTGCATCATCCCAACAAACAAGCACATTTAACAAGGCCAAGAAGAAGGGCTCTAGGGTTTCTTGCTCCCCAGTGCTGCTGCTTCCCTTCCCCAGCAGCAGCACTTGGCATCGCTGTTTCCTCCAGAGTACTTGAAAGGGCTCTCTAGGGAGGCTTGCCAGACTGTCGGCAATTTCCCCTTCCCAGAGCACGATGACTAACACAAATAGAAACTAGGGTAGGGAAAGGATATTAAGCTCTCCTAAGAAGGTTGGTTTTCCAGAGGTGGCAATAAAAACAAACCAGTAAACATTAAAAAAAAAAAAAAAAAGTTTCTCTAAGACCTGGACTATTTAAATAGCTTGTTACAGCCCTTACCTTCCGTTCTTGTAAGCTATGCTTCAACTCAATTCAACATACCTTTGAGTACCTGTTACATGCCAAGGCCTTGTGGTAAGAAGCCCAGTTACAGAAAAAAGTAAGACACAAACTTTACTCTCAAGTAAATTCATGTGTGTTTGTGTTCACGATGTAACATGACAGGTAATAATAACAAACAGGAAGATATCTAAGCTGTGATTTGCAAGATAAATGGTAAGAAAATGGGGCCGAAAGGTGTGGTGAGAGAGAGAAGACATTCAGATAGGGAGAACACCAATCTAATAAGATACTTGAGGAATTGCAAGTAATTTGATAAAACTGAAATATAAAAAACAAAGGGAGGGAATCAATGTGGGGAGAGAGGCAGAAGCCAGATCATGAAGGCCCTTTTATGACAGGAGGTAGTGGGATTTCATCCTGCAGATGAAGATAAGCCAATAGTTTCATAAAGGGTATTATTTTCTGGGTCTTGAAGGCTAAAATTGTGAGCATCTTCCATAACAAGATTAATCCTTATCCATAAGTCAGTTTTAGTCCCAGATTTATCTTTTTTTGGAATAAGCCATAATAAGAACTTCAGAGAAAGAAGAGTTTTTTTGTGTGGTATAAAATAATATTTTTTGACCAGGCACGGTGGCTCATGCCTGTAATCCCAGCACTTTGGGAGGCCAAGGTAGGCGGATCACGAGGTCAGGAGTTCAAGACTAGCCTGGCCAACATGGTGAAATCCCATCTCTACTAAAAATATGCAAATTAACTGGGCGTCGTGTTGCACGCCTGTAATCCCGGCTACTTGGGAGGCTGAATCAAGAGAATTGATTGAACCCAGGAGGCAGAGGTTGCAGTGAGCCAAGGTCACACCACTACACTCTAGCCTGGGTGACAGAGTGAGACTCTGTCTCAAAACAACAACAACAACAAAAAAATTATACAAGTAACGTGAATTCACATTTATTGAAAAAAAAAGTAGAGGACCAGGCACAATGGCTCACACCTGTAATCCCAACACTTTGGGAGGCCAAGACGGGTGGATCGCCTGAGGTCAGGAGTTTGAGACCAGCCTGGCCAACATGGTGAAACCGTGTCTTTACTAAAAATACAAAAAAATTCGCCAGGCATGGTGTCACATGCCTGTAATCCCAGTTACTTGGGAGGTTGAGGCAGGAGAATCACTTGAACCTGGGAGGCAGAGGTTGTAGTGAGCTGAGATAGTGCCACTGCACTACAGCCTATGTCACAAGAGCAAGACTGTCTGAAGGGGAAGAAAAAAAAAGGGCCAGGGGTGCAATGGCTCATGCCTGTAATCCCAACACTTTGGGAGGCCAAGGTAGGATCACGAGGTTAGGGAGTTCGAGACCAGCCTAGCCAATATATTGTCTCAAAAAATTCCATCTCCAAAAAAAAATACAAAAGGCCAGGTGCAGTGGCTCACGCCTGTAATCCAGCTCTTTGGGAGGCTGAGGCGGGCGAATCACAAGGTCAAGAGATCAAGACCATCCTGGCCGACGTGGTGAAACCCATCTCTACTAAAAAAAAATTAGCTGGGCATGGTGGTGTGTGCCTGTAGTCCCAGCTGCTCGGGAGGCTGAGGCAAGAGAATCGCTTGAAACCAAAAGGTGGAGGTTGCAGTGAGCCGAGATCGTGCCACTGCACTCCAGCCTGGGCAACAAGAGCAAAACTCCATCTCCAAAAAAAAAAAAAAAAAAAAAGGTACAAGAATATCTAGAGACAAAAATGTGAAGTTCCTCAGCCGGATAAATTTATTTATTTATTTATTTGTTTTGAAATGGAGTCTTGCTTTGTCTCCCAGCCTGGAGTGCAGTGGCGCGATCTCGGCTCCCTGCAACCTCCGCCTTCCATGTTCAAGTGATTCTCCTGCCTCAGCCTCCCGAGTAACTGGGACTACAGGCACGCCACCGCACCAGGGTAATTTTTGTATTTTTAGTAGAGACGGGGTTTTGCCATGTTGTCCAGGCTGGTCTCGAATTCCTAATCTCAGGTGATCTGCCCACCTTGGCCTCCCAAAGTGCTGGAATTACAGGCTTCAGCCACCATGCCTAGTCTTTTCAGAATACTATGAAATGCTATTTATATTCTGTTCTAATATATACATGATTTTCATCCAATATTTGTGTTTTTGAGATAGGAATCTCACTCTGTTACTCAGGCTGGAGTGCAGTGGCGCCATCTCCGCTCACTGCAACCTCTGCCTCCCAGGCTAGGGATTCTTGTGCCTCAGTCCCCCAAGTAACTGGGACCGCAAGCGCACTACCATGCTCAGCTCATTTTTTGTATTTTTTTTTAGAGATGGTGTTTCGCCATGTTGCTGAGGCTTGTCTCGAACTCTCCTGAGCTCAAGCAATCTGGCTGCCTCAGCCTCCCAAAGTGCTGGTATTACAGGCATGAGCCACCGCACCTGGCCAGGGCTCTACAGTTCATGTTCACATCACGTGTTACGTAGGAGGAAAAAAGGGAAAAAATGAAGACCCAGAGTGTAACATTTATGCTATCTGTACTAATCTGTGTTTCTGAATTTCCTCATTTAATATTAAACCAAAATGTATCTGAAAAAAATAACTACCTTAACATCTAAAAGAAAAAATTCCTTAGTATCATTAGATGTGTTTTCAATGTTAGATTTCTCAGACTGTTCAAACTTTTTTTATGGTTGATTCCTTCAAATAAGAACTAGCTTTTCCTTTATCTTACTGATGTGATGCCTTACACTTACTGATTTTTTTGTATGTTAAACCGCCCTTGCAGTCTTGGGATAAATCTCATTTGGTCATGGTGTATAATACTTTTAACATGCTGCTGAATTTAACTTGCTAGTATTTTATTGAAGATTTTTACATCTATATTCATAAGGAATATTGGTCTACAGTTTTATGGTGTCTTTGGTATCAGGATAATGCTGGCCTCACAAAATAAATCAAGAAGTGCTTCCTTTTTTGTTTTTTTGGAAGAGTTTGAGAAGCATTTGTGTTAATTCTGGAGAACTCGCTTTTATTTATTATTTATTTATTTATTTATTTTGAGACCGAGTCTCACTCTGTTGCCCAGCTTGGAGTGCAGTGATGTGATCTTGGCTCACTGCAACCTCTGCCTCCTGGGTTCAAGCAGTTCTTATGCTTCAGCCGCCCAGGTAGTTGGGATTACAGGCATGCCTCAGCCTCCCAGGTAGCTGAGATTACAGGCACACATCACCACACCTGGCTGATTTTTGTATTTTTAGTAGATACGGAGTTTCACCATGTTGGCAGGCTGGCCTCGAGCTCCCGAACTCAGGTGATCCACCTGTCTTAGCCTCCCAAAGTGCTGGGATTACAGGCTTGAGCCACTGCGCCTGGCCAGAACCTGCTTTTAAATATAGCTTTCATGCCAACTTTCTATGTGACCTTAATCAAATATTTTTCAGGCCTCAGTTCCTTTATCTGTAAAAAGATATGTAATTGAATTAAATGCTCTTGAGTGCCTCTCTATCAGTTTGTTGCCCTACACTAGGGTCTAATTTGATAGAAAGATGTTGGCTTTCATTATAACAACTTGTTATCAAGGATGAATTTCTCCGTGAAATTAATAGAGGTACAGACTGGAAAGCTGAAGGAGCTTTAAGAAGTTATTTGATTTAGTCTTCTGTCTTTACAGCAGCAAATTATCCTCTCTGCCCCATAGGTACAGTAGTTAAGGTCCAGAAGGTTTAAATGATTTACCCAAAGTATATAACTAGTTAAGTGTCAGAACAAAAAAAGCTAGACCTCAGGTCTGTTTACCACAGAGCCCATAGTACACACGTGGCCTTTTCTGAAATTAGCTTAACTAGATAAATGATCTTTCTTCTGTTTTTCTTCCTCTGTAGGTTCTTTGCCCTGACATCCCTTCGTCTTGTGTTTTTACTTGCATTTGGCTTGATGATCATTGTGTGTATTGATCAATGGAAGAACAAAATCTGGCCTGAAATAAAAGGTGAGTTTGGTAGCATTTAGAACAGTCTGAACTGAAGATGGCCTTTCCTATAATTTGTACCTTTAGTATTAGGGGTTTATGAGGAGGTGTATGGAGCTGGGGACTGTCTTTCGAAGTCTGAATCTTTTGCTTTAGGAGGCACTTGAAGGACTTGTGCCCCAATTATGGTTCCTTGGAGCTGGGTTCTGCTCTTCCCATTGTTACTAAGCACAGGTAGTCTGTACTCACCACCTGACATATTTTTGCCAACATAATGGCCTGAGGAATAAGTAGTCCTCAAATTAAAAATAATAATTATCATTATTGGACACTGCATCTTTATTGAGGCAGTACTAATTTACTTCTCAGGAATTTCTTTTAAATTGCTCATTTGCAAAACACTAGGATAGCCAATTGTGACTTATAGAAAGTACCATGATGGCCAGGCGCAGTGGCTCACGCCTGTAATCCCTGTACTTTGGGAGGCCCAGGCGGGTGGATCACCTGAGGTCAGGAGTTTGAGCCCAGCCTGGCCAACATGATGAAACCCTGTCTCTAATAAAAAGAAAAAAATAGCTGAGTGTGGTGGCGCAGACTTGTAATCCTAGCTACTCAGGAAGCTGAGGCAGGAGAATAGCTTGAACCCGGGAGGCGGAGGTTGCAGTGAGCCAAGATCATGCCACTGCACTCAGCCATGGCGACAAGAGCAAAATTCAGTCTCAAAAAAGACAGAGAGAGAGAGTGAGAGAGAGAACCATGACATGTAGTGTTTTTAAAAAGCTAATACATACATAAACATGAAAAATTAAGTGACAGTTATAGACCAGTACGACAGATTTCACAGGGCAGTATGTAATTGGTATACTTGTCATATATTTTGTCCCTAGCTTGAGAGTGGAACAAAGCAAAAGATTTGAACAGATCGAGAAAAAAGTGTTTCTAGAGAGTCCAGTGACTTGATTAGTCTGAGGAATCAGAAGTTGCAAAGCATTTCCTGACATCAGAGAATTGATCATATGGCCAGGATAAAGGTTCATTAAAGGGAGTGCTAGGAAATAAAACTGAAAGTATGTTGAGATTAGGTTTTTTGTTTGTTTCGTTTCTTTTCTTTTTTTTGAGACGGAGTCTCGCTCTGTTGGCCAGGCTGGGGTGCAGTGGCATGATCTCGGCTCACTGCAACCTCTGCCTCCCAGGTTCAAGCAGTCCTCCTGCCTCAGCCCCACCAGTAGCTGGGATTACAGGCATGTGCCACCTTGCCTGGCTAATTTTTGTATTTTTGGTAGAGACGGGGTTTCACCATGTTGGCCAGGCTGGTCTCGAACTTCTGACCTCAAGTGATCCACCCACCTCGGCCTCCCAAAGTGCTAGGATTACAGGCGCGAGGCACTGCGCCTGGCCCATTCTTTTTTTTGAGACAGAGTCTTGATCTGTCACCCAGGCTGGAGTGCAGTGGCACAATCATGGCTCACTGTAGCCTCAACCTCCTGGGCTCAAGCAATTCTCCCACCTTAGCCACCTGAGCAGCTGGGACTATAGGCACTTGCCACCATGTCCAGCTAATTTTTGTATTTTTTCTATAGACGGGGTTTTGCCATGTTGTCCAGGCTGGCTGCAAACTCCTGGACTCAAGTGATTCACTCACCTCAGCCTCCCAAAGTGCTGGATTACAGGTGTGAGCTACCGCACCCAACCGACTTTTTTATTTATCTTTTTTGGTTTATTTATTTATTTATTTTTTATTTTTGAGACAGAGTTTCGCTCTTGTTGCCTGGGCTGGAATGCAATGGCACAATCTCGGCTCACCACAACCTCCACTTCCTGGGTTCAAGCGATTCTCCTGCCTCAGCCTCCCAAGTAGCTGGGATTACAGGCATGCACCACCACGCCCAGCTAATTTTGTATTTTTAATGGAGTTGGGGTTTCTCCATGTTGGTCAGGCTGGTCGTGAACTCCCAACCTCAGATGATCCACCCTCCTCGACCTCCCAAAGTACTGGGATTACAGACATGAGCCACCGCGCCCAGCCCTATTCTTATTTTTTAACAAACTAGGTCTCACTGTGTTGTCCAGGTTTTGGAGTGCAGTGGTGTGATCATAGCTCACTGCAGCCTCAAATCCCTGGGCTTAAGTGATCCTCCCACCTCAGTCTCCCAATTAGCTGGGACTACAGGTGCATACCACCACACCCAGCTAAGTAAAAAAAAAAAAAAAGTTTTTTTGAGAGAGTCTGGCTTTGTTGCACGGGCTGGAGTGCAGTGGCATGATATTGGCTCCCTGCAACCTCTGCCTCCCAGGTTCAGATGATTCTCCTGCCTCAGTCTCCTGATGACAGGTGTGCACCACTACGCCCAGCTAATTTTTCTGGTATTTTTGGTAGAAATGGGGTTTCGCCATGTTGGCCAGGCTGGTCTCGAACTCTTGACCTCAAGTGATCCACCTGCCTTGGCCTCCCAAAATGCTGGGATTACAGGCATGAGCCACCACGCCTGGCCAATAGTAAAGATTAATTAGTAGCATTTTTAGGACCACATGGAAGGAGGAAAAGTGGAACAGGATGACCTGTTAGGAGACTGTGGCAGTGTCTTCGTGAGAAGTAGTCAGAGAGGCCTCAGTGAATACAAATGATGGATGGTTTGGATCGCTGTGAGGAAGGAAGATACATCAAAACATAAATAGCTGGGGCCAGGTGCAGTGGATCATGCCTGTGATCTGAGCACTTTGGGAGGCTGAGGCAGGAGAATTGCTTGGGCCCAGGAGTTTGAGACCTGCCTGGTCAACATGGTGAAACCTTGTCTCTACAAAAAATTAAAAAATTAGCCAGGCATGGTGGCATGCACCTGTGGTCCCCAACTACTTGGGAGGCTGAAGTGGGAAGATCCCTTGAGCCCTGGTGGTTGAGGCTGCAGTGAGCCATGATCGCACCGCTATACTCCAGCCTAGATAATAGGGCGACACCTGTCTCAAAAAATAATAATTATTATATATGTATAATAAAAGACATAAATGGATGGGGGTTAAAGCTAAGAGAGTGGCAGAATGGCATTACAGTTAGCAGATAAAGGCAAAGGCAGACACAAAAGTTGGTTTGAAGGGGTGAGAGAGGAAAACTGATGTAGATTTTATGTTAATTTTGAAGTGTTGGCAAGATATTCAAACCAGAGTATACAGGTTTTAAATACATGCCCATCATATTTTATAGAGACTTCAAGGAATTGTGTAGTTCATCTGCCTATCTAATGGCTGGTGAATATGAAAAGACTTACACATTATTCAGGTAGATAATGGGTCTCCCTCCCTTTTTTTTTTTTTGGTTAAAGACAGGTTCTCACTATGTTGCCCAGGATGGACTTGAACTCCTGGGCTCAAGTGATCCTCCTGCCTCAGCCCCCCAAGGAGGCAGAACTATAAGTGAGCATCACTATACCCAGCTCTGGGTCTCTTTTTAAAGAGAACAGGCAGGCTGGGTGTGGTGGCTCACACCTGTAATGCCAGCACTTTTGGGAGGCTGTGGTGGGTGGATCACCTGAAGTCAGGGGTTCAAGACCAGCCTGGCCAACATGGCAAAAACCCGTCTCTACTAAAAACACAAAAATTAGCTGGGCATGGTGGTGGGCGCCTGTAATCCCAGCTACTTGGGAGGCTGAGGCAGGAGAATCGCTTGAACCCTGGAGGCGGAGGTTGCAGTGAGCCAGGATCGTGCCACTGTACTCCAGCCTGGGCGACAGAGTGAGACTCTGTCTCAAAAAAATAAAATAAAGAGAACAGGTATTTTTCAGCTGGGTGCGGTAGCTCACGCCTGTGATCACAGCACTTTGGGAGGTAGAGGAGTTCGAGAGCAGCCTGGCCAACATGGTGAAACCCCATCTCTACTGAAAATACAAAAATTAGCCAGGTGTGGTGGCGTGCACCTGTAGTCCCGGTTACTCAGGAGGCTGAGTGAGCTGAGATCACGCCACTGCACTCCAGCCTGGGCTACAGAGCAAGACCGTGTCTCAAAAAAAAAAAAAAAAAAACACACACGGTGAATCCCCGTCTCTACTAAAAATACAAAAAATTAGACGGGCATTGTGGCGGGCACCTGTAGTCCCAGCTACTCAGGAGGCTGAGGCAGGAGAATGGCGTGAATCTGGGAGGTGGAGCTTGCAGTGAGCCGAGATCACGCCACTGCACTCCAGGCTGGGTGACAGACCAAGACTCTGTCTCAAAAAAGATAAAAAAATAACAGGCAGATTTCAAGGGTTGGAGTTGTTACAACGTACCTTGTGTAGCCTGGCACAGATTGATGTGTATGGGCATCCCAGACACACTCAAGGGGTGAGATGGACCATTTTTCTTGTACACCTTGGCTTTCAGCTGAGGTCATTAGAAGGGGGCTTAAATAGTCCATTTGGACCTCCCTTCCTTCCCCTCGAAAAATGAGTAGGCGTAAGTGATTATTCCCTTGTCTGCAGCTCCCTAACTCTGGCAGTATAACACAGTGTCTCCTTTTTTATCAGCTATTACTGTTTTCTTTTCCCCAACCTATTAAAACTTGAGCTGTCAGACCAACAGCCTAACATTGTCATGTTTAGTTTTCCCTACCAACTAATGCTGGTGTTTGTTTTAATATTGTAGTGCCAAGACCCGACGCATTAGACAATGAGAGGTATGGAACACTAATTAAATCCCTTTTTGTTGCTCTGATTCATTCTCTTGTAATATTCTGGTTACATGTTGTTAACCCCATGTTTTGGACACACAGTGTAAGCTGAGAACCTAGGCTGTTCCAAATGATCATTTTAACACATCCTAAACTTCAGGCAGCAATATGTTGAGATGCCTGTGTCCTCTGATCTTTACAAGAGAAGTTTCTGAAAAAGAAGCATTACAGTGCCCCATAACGTGACATGCCAGGGAGTCAGCTGCATTGTTCAGTCCCAGTGAGAAAACTTAAAGGCAGCTAACTTCATTTGTCTCCTGGCTTTTATACCAGGTCATTTAGTGTTTTCTGTGACCTCTGGCTATTTAAAGTTCCCGGTCAGAAAACACATTGGTTCCTGGCATCAGCAAGTCAAAGCCAAAGATTCCTCTTGTGTCTTACAGCTCCTGCTTTCATTTCTCAGTTCATCCACTCCATTTGTTTGATCCAAGGAATTTTCTCTGCTATAGTTTATTTTGGTTTTGCTTTATTTATTTTCTCTCTGAAGGGCACATCCACCATTTCCTCCCCCTTAGCAGCAGTGGTATCAGTCAGACTGTGCTCACTTTTATCCCTGGATTGCAATCACAGGGAATTGGAATGGTCTGAGTGCAAGGAAGAAGATGTTTCTAAGCACAAAGGGCCTTGGAGCTGGGGGCAGGTTTACACACGTGGATTGGGCTGCTTGCTCATAGGGTGGAGTTGTCAGAACAAGTCTGTCCTCCTTGTACCTAAATTCAGGTTTCAACCTGGTGAGCCAAGAAGAAAGCCATGCTTCACCTCCAAAGCACCTGGGCCTAGTCACTCCCCAAACCCCATTTAAACCCGGAAGCACTGGCTGCCTGCACAGCAAGATGGGGGGACTCTCAACACCCTCCTTTCACAGCTCCCCCTTCTCTCTCCCATAGCTGGGGCTTTGTGCACCCTCGGTTGCTCAGCGTGCCCGAGCTCTGCCACCATGTAGCTGAAGTCTGGGTTAGTGGGACCATTTTCATAAGGAATGTTTTGCTTTTCAAAAAGCAAAACCCAGGCAAGGTAAGACTCTTCCCTTTTTCACTTTCATCTCTGGCCTCTCAGTTCAGTTCATGCTAAACTGAAACAGCTCCTTTACTACATGTCTTCATTCAAGAAAGTAAAGACTATGATGTTTATAGAGACAAAAGGAAGCTATAGGAAAGGCCTTCTGATCAGCCATTAGGACTAAGACAGGAGCTTGGTGACTGCTCATTTGGTGTGGTTGCCACTTAGATGAGGCCATTTTCTTGCTTCAGGATGGGAAAGAAAGCTTTCTTGTGTGCATTCTGTGTCATATTAAGTATGTGATACGTTGTTGTGTTTTTTGGGTTTTGTGTGTGTGTTTCTGTTGACTTAAAAAACCACCACCAACGCTGCTTTCAGAGAGAATTTTTGGCTAAGTCCTATTCAAACAATTTCTTGGCATGAAGGGTGCAGCCCTATGGGGTTAGCCATATAAAAAGTTTGAATAGAAGGGGACATGCTCCTTTTCTTCCCAAACAGAATCACCACTGGATGCAACAGTGGCTACACATCCATGCTTGACTTACAGAGTCTTTCAATCATATCTCTACCCTAACCCTCCACACCCACCCCAAACCCCTACAGTGTGGCAGAAACTTAATACTGTTTCTTGATTCCCCAGTTCTGCTTGCTGAGCTGTGGGATACTGACCTTTTTGGCTGTCTTGGGCCGCTATGTCCCTGGGCTTCTGCTCTCCTACTTCATGCGTAAGTATGGAATATACCTCCCCTATGAACTGTGCCCTGCTCATAGCTTTCCAACTATGGCTAACTCTAGGTCTGAGGAGAGGACATTTATATTTCAGTTCTCTAGGATATGACCTTTGCATTTTTTCATGACCTGTTTAGTGTTGTCATGAAAATATCCTTCTTACCTTTAGCAGGCTCTCCACAAACAAAGTTCATTTCTTACCAAGTCAGAAATTGAAGGTAGGTCAGGTGCGGTGGCTCGCGCCTGTAATCCCAGCACTTTGGGAGACCGAGGCGGGCAGATCACGATGTCAGGAGATCGAGACCATCCTGGCTAACACGGTGAAACCCTGTGTCTACTAAAAATACAAAAAAAAAAAAAAAAAATTAGCTGGGTGTGGTGGTGGGCACCTGTAGTCCCAGCTACTCAGGAGGCTGAGGCAGGAGAATGGCGTGAACCCGGGAGGCAGAGCTTGCAGTGAACCGAGATCACGCCACTGCACTCCAGCCTGGGCGACAGAGTGAGACTCCGTCTCAGAAAAAACAAAAAATTGATGAGGGTTCACTAACATGTATTGTATTACCAATTATAAAGGACTGCCTGTCCCTATTTTAGGAGAGAATTTTTAGAGCCAGGGTATTGTCAGCAGAACATAACTCTTAGGGATTTCTCTACTAGGTTCTATTTATGCCAGAGTACTTTTTTCCCACTTGGAGCATAGTTTTGTAAATTTAGTTACTTCCTGTTGGCATGTACTCAGCTTGCTTGGGGCTGGAAGAACTAAGTACTTACGCCTGTGGCTTTTGTATATCAAAACCTCCCATGATTTGTTGTGTAATTTTTAGGCATTGTTACCATTTATGGCTCAGTGACACCCATTGCCAGGTTCTGCCCTTGGCCTGTCAGCAGCATACTATGCTGTGCATAGCCCCGCAGTAGGCTCTGTGGCTAGTTATAGAAGTCCCTGCCCTCAAAAACTTCATGCGTAGGGGAGACTGGTGAAGATGACCGGCAGACTTGGGCAGATCTGTTCCACACTTTGTGTCCAAGCCCTAAGGACCAATAGCAGCGCTACAGTTAGAAATGTTTTTTGCAGCCCTTTCTCCATTTTGTCACTGTTTCCCATGCCTCCTCACAGTTGTCACTGTCATGATGTGGCCCCTTGCTGTGTACCACCGACTGTGGGATCGAGCATATGTGCGGCTGAAGCCAGCTCTGCAGCGGCTGGACTTCAGTGTCCGTGGCTACATGATGTCCAAGCAGAGAGAGAGACAATGTAAGTGTCATGGTGTCATTCTTTCCACTTAGGCAATTTGGGGCAAGAAGGAGAAGCCCATAGGTCTGACCTACTGGGTGGGTCCTCAAAAGTGGAAGTTGGGGGTAGTTGGTAGGGGTGAGGATTGGTAGGTAAAAATGATATTCTGCTCTAGGGAAACCTATGCAGGCTTGCCAGTTTTTATCATTTGGAATCCTAGGCTCCTGTTTTAAACCTATCTGATAAAAGCTCTTTCAAGTTGAATAAAAGCTAGACAGTGAAGATAAATTCCTAGTATTTGTGCTTTTTTTTTTTGAGACAGGGTCTCATTCTGTTGTCCAGGGTGGAGTGCAGTGGCATGATCATGGCTCACTGCAGCCTTGACCTCCCAGGCTCAAGTGATCCTTCTACCTCAGCCCCGCCAAACCCTTCAGTAGCTGGGACTCCAGGCATGTATCACCACATCTGGCTGATTTTTATATTTTTTTGTAGAGATGGGTTCTCGTTATGTTGCCCAGGCTGATCCTGAACTCCTGGGCTCAAGTGATCCTCCTGCCTGGGCGTTCCAAAGTGTTGGGATTACAGATGTGAGCCACCACGCTCAGCCCAGAGCAGATCCTTTCAACTCCTAAGCCTGGTCTCTTTTCACTACTGAAAGCTGCCTCCCAAAGGTGATTAAAAACTGCTACCTCAGAGGTTGTAAGTGTACCAGCCTGAGATCCATGCAACACATTAATGATGGTAGTACAGACTTTTCCCTCCCTTGTGTGGTCTTGTCAGGTTTTGTGTTTTATGGAATCCTGGCCTTCAAAGAGCCCTACACTTGGTCACCAAGGCCCAAGTCCCCTTGGGGCAGCCAGTTGAATAATACCAGTCCTCAGAAGTCTGATTTAACAAGGTGTGCATCTCCTTTTGCCCTCTCTCTGATCGTGTCCACTTAACACCTTGACATTAGGTCTGCCTTTAGCCATCCAAAGAGTTGTTGACAAAGCCTGGTATTTGATCATCTGACCAGAATAGAAATGTGTGCCAGGCCGGGCGCAGTGGTTCACGCTTGTAATCCCAGCACTTTGGGAGGCTGAGGTAGGCGGATCACCTGAGGTCAGGAGTTCAAGACCGGCTTTACCAATATGATGAAACCCCGTCTCTACTAAAAATGTAAATATTAGTTGGGTGTGGTGGTGAGCACCTGTAATCTCAGCTACCCAGGAGGCTGAGACAGGAGAATCGCTTGAACCCAAGAGGCAGAGGTTGCAATGAGCTGAGATCGCACCATTGCACTCTAGCCTGGGCAACAAGAGCGAAACTCCATCTCAAAAAAAAAAAAACAAAACTGTGTAGGGCCTGGTGGAGAGGATGTTGGAAGCTGAGATATTTTCTGCTATGTTATCAACTCACCTTGCCATTTAGGTTCAGCAGCTCAGCCTTCTGTTGTTACTATATAGGCTTAGAGCCAGATTCAGAGAGGCTCTTTGTTTTATTTTCTGATTTTATGCCTTTAAAGTCCAAAGGGGTTTTTACGCTGGTGGGAAGGTATCAAGCAAGGCTTTGTGCTCTTCCCGCACAGTACGCCGCAGAGCTCTCCACCCAGAACGAGCCATGGACAACCACAGTGACAGCGAAGAGGAGCTTGCTGCCTTCTGTCCTCAGGTATCTTGAGTGTGGGAGCTGCTTCACTGTCCAGTTTTCTTTAGCTCCCTTTCAACCATCTGACAGCTCACATTTAGGCCATAGCCAGGTTTGAGGCCTTGGACTCCCCTTGTTCCCAAGACCAGTAACAAGGAGAGAAGTGAGACTTTGTTCCTAGATCTCAATTTTTTTTAAAAATCATATCATTCCTCTGATCAACCTAGATCTCAATTACAGCCTGATGCCCAGCACCACTCTTCCATATCTCTTTTTACCCTGTCATTATGGAAGAACTTCTGGAGTTAGTCGTTTGTTGTTGTTGAGAGAGATGTAGTTGATCATCTTTTTTTTTTTTTTTTTTTTTTTTTTGAGACGGGAGTTCTCGCTCTGGTCGCCCAGGACTGGAGTGCAGTGGCGCAATCTCGGTCACTGCAAGCTCCGCCTCCCGGTTCACGCCATTCTCCTGCCTCAGCCTCCGAGTAGCTGGGACTACAGGCCGCCCGCAACTGCGCCCGGCTAATTTTTTTTTTTTTTTTTTTTTTTGAGGCAGAGTCTCGCTCTGCCGCCCAGGTTGGAGTTGCCGTGGCCGGATCTCAGCTCACTGCAAAGCTCCGCCTCCTGGGTTCACGCCATTTCTCCTGCTCAGCCTCCCGGAGGCTGGGACTACAGGCGCCGCCACCTCGCCCGGCTAGTTTTTTGTATTTTTAGTAGAGACGGGGTTTCCGTGTTAGCCGGGATGGTCTCCGATTCCTGACCTCGTGATCCGCCCGTCTCGGCCTCCCAAGTGCTGGGATTTACAGGCTTTGAAAATTTTTTTTCTATTTTTAGTAGAGACGGGGTTTTCACATGGTCTCGATCTCTTGACCTTGTGATCCGCCCTGCCTCGGCTCCCAAAGTGCTGGGATTACAGGCGTGAGCCACCGGCCCCGGCCGTCATGATCATCTTTTTTAAACAGTCCATTTCACCCTTGGTCTGGTGCAGTATGTGTATCCTCCTGCCACTTTGAAAAGTTATTCTCTGGAATCAGTTATTCGCCTTAAAGTAAGTTAGGTAATTGACTCCCCAGACTGGCTTTTCTTTTTTTTTTTTTTTTTTTTTTTTTTGAGACTGAGTCTGGCTCTGTCGCCCAGGCTGGAGTGCTGGGTGGCCGGATTCTCAGCTCACTGCAAGCTCCGCCCTCCGGTGTTCACGCCATTCTTCCTGCCTCAGCCTCCCGAGTAGCTTGGACCACAGGCCGCCCGGCCAACTTCGCCGGGCTGTTTTTTGTATTTTTTTTAGTAGAGAACGGGTTTCACCGTGTTAGCCAGGATGGTCTCGGAGTCTCCTTGACCTCGTGATCCGCCGTCTCGGCCTCCCAATGTGCTGGGATTACAGGCTTGAGCCACCGGCGCCCGGCCTGCCAGGACTGCTTTTTCTTCCTGTGCTTAAAGGGTATAAATGAGTGTTTTCTTTGGGAGAGCCCAGTTTT